AAAGTTATTTACAATTCTGTAAATCCATAGAAAACTCTAAATATATAGGAACTTAATCATACTCTTAAATACAGTCGATGGAATAATAGAGTACAAAACAGAAGAATATATTTCTGAGACTTGTAAGAAATATTAATCGATTCACTGAGCATCAATGGAATCAGTGCATATCTAATTGCATGCAATTCTGCGTGATTTTGATTATTCCACTCGGCTGTATTAGGCATACATTACACTGACCTTTGGTTGATTCAATAATAAATATTTATTGTGTCACTGGAAACTGAGAAAGTTAAATCTGCCATTACTCGCTTACAATTGTAGGTTTAATGTTTTCTATTAAAAAACTCAGTTTTCAGCAAAAATCGATTTCTTTTCTTAAAAATAAATTATTGAGAAAGTGATACTTATTCTTTAAATTTTTTTTCATAGAAACAATATTTTTCTTATAAAAGTGTTTTTTCTTTATTAAAGAAGATTTTTTAGATAAAAACTCAAACTGAAAATGTTAACAAATCCATAGCGGCTTCTGATTCTTTGAGATAGAAAATCATCAGTCGGAAAACAAAATTCTGTTTATTGAATCAACTTTAGATCGACATTCAGGATACCCACTCCAACTAGACTGATTCTTTCCTAAGTGAGTTTATTGATTCTGAATAATTCATGTGACTTCGAACGTCTGAATGCTGTATTTTGATCCTCTTTCAAAGCCAATCTAATCGCAAAGAATCAATGAAATCATTGAATTCGCTTTCTCACCCTTACTTGCCATTCATGTCAATTATCGTGTAGTGTTGTACCGTTTTTTATTTTGTTACTTCGCCGAACTTTACTTTCATTTTCTTTCTGATTTTGCGGAGCTCAGATATATATTTTCAAAGAAATTAGTGCGCAAATGTTGAAGAGTGAGTTTTTTCGGCTTCTCTCATTCCATTGCAAGCAGCCTCTATGACAAACTTCAGCAATCGAGAGTAAAAGATGTTAGATATTCTAGAGATTCTTCGGAAAACTAATTAAGTTATAATTTTAACAAATAATGAATATTGTTATATGTGACTTGATTAATATATATGATATTGTGAAGGACTTCCTATAAGTATCATAGATATATGAAACACACTTATTTGTTAATAAATCGATGATTTTAATATTAAGAATGTTAGATTAATAATGAAAAAATACCTATAATGCAAGCAAAAAGTAGGACATTCGTAGAGAAAATTAAATATTTCTGTTCAAAATGCAGATATAAGTAAGACAATTCTTTAATGCACTGATCGATTATTTTTACACAAAATTATAGTCTATCAAAGATACGTCGTTTCTTCTATTTTCCATATTCAGATTTATTTTTGTTCTTGTTGTACGATAAAACACTCATTTATCTTCTCTACATAACTACTTCTCACTTATGAAAAAAAAAACTGAATATTACCCTATGCCATTCGTACTTCAAAAAGTGATAATTCATCGTTTCTAATTTACATATAAAATATTCTTTAGCTGAACCTAAAGACGACGATATGAATTTTCAACGTAAAACACGAGAAAACTCTGTGGATACTCGATCACAAAAAGATCTTGCTACAATGAATACCATTCCTATATCTTCCGAAAAATGTCAAAATGGGGAGAATATGCACCCATCACAGCAACGATCAAGTGAGTTTTGTTCATAGTAGAAAAGAAAATTTACGATTTGAAATGTGGCACTATATTCGGTGTCTGTATAGGAAACACAACAATATACTTCTCTAAACATGTTATCGACGAGTCCGATTAGAGTATATTTTTGAAACTTAACAATTTTTCTAAAGTCAATACTTTGTCAAATACATTCTGTACTTTCAGATTCATTTCCATATATAGATAAAACATTATCTGGTAATTAATAATATTTTTTTTTTCTAAATACTTTTCCAATAGAAAATTTAGGCATGTAGTTTTATTCGATTAGACTTTTTCACAAGTAACTCATCCAAGAATTCTAATTTACAAGCTGTCCTTTGTTTAACATGAAACCTCAGCAACTGATTGAACGTTTTTTGGATCTAGTATTTTGCTAAGACGTAGGGATATATCAAAAGTATAAGTAGTATCTCCCTTAAATATTTAAAATATAAAAAAGCTACACATATGATAATAATATGATTTTATGTGAAAATTCTATTCGGCTCTACTGGTAACTCTCTACAGCTCTGTTCGATTTCTTTTCTTCACCTGAACATAATTAAAATTGAAAAATATAAAACTTGTGCTTTATTTTTAGTCTCATGTATTCGAGTTCCAACAAATGCTCCGAACATTGAATTTAAACGTGAACTTTGTCCTTATGCAAATAGAGGTCAATGCCGCTACACCGCCGATGAATGTAAATATCTCCATACACCATGCGGAAATTTTGATTCATGTTCACAGTCCAACTGTCCTCTAGCTCATGCAAGACCATTATCTTCTGTAAGTCAAGAATGAGAAATGATTCATCCTTAGAAAAAAGATGCATTAAAATTGTATCGTTTTTAGAAACTGTGTCTTAATGGAATCCGATGTTTCAAACCTGATTGCCGATTCGAACATCCGGCGGGGTGGAGTGCTTGTAATAATGGAGTACAATGTACTCGCTATGACTGTAATTCTAACCATCCACCTACTCGTAAACAAAAGTGTCCTCACGGAAATCGATGTAGCACCAATAATTGTAAACTTCTTCATCCTAATATGTCTTCTGATGAATGTTTGTGGGGTACAAAATGTCAAAAATGGGATTTTGAAAAAAGTCATCCTATCGGTCGACTTCAGCTTTGTTCCAATAAAGATTATTCCAACAATGAGACATGTGGTTACTTGCATCCGCCTAAATATGCCAAATCACCAGTCACCATTCCGTTGTTATCGTATAACAAGCTAAATATTATTCCTGATTCAGCGAAGGAACAATCAGAAATGATTGAATTAAGTGCTGCCAAGCAAAATTTTCTGGAATCTTTTGGTAAGAAAATCTTGGATAAAATTCTTAAGGAAGAAGGTATTAAAAACGTAAAACTTAACAATGGTAAAATTGAACTATCGGGAAATAGTTCAGCAATCATAAACGTAAAGTCTTATCTCCAACAGACGCTTCACGAACAGAATGTGATGATTACAAATAATCTGAAGAAATATTTACTGTTATCTGCTACAGGACGTTTAATGAAGAGATTTTTACAAAAATACCCTGTAGGAATTTCTTATTCTGAAATATTAGCAGGTCCTCTTTCGACTGCTAATGATATGATAACAATTAAAAATAGGCATGATGCAGATGAAAGAAGAAATCAATATGATAGTGATCATAATATGAATCAATCAGAAGACGAACAAGAGGATGAAGATAGTGATGATGATGATGATGATCGGAAGAGTACTATTTCAAATACATCATCTAATTTCACAAATATATCGAGTAATTCTAAACATCGTCGTAATTTTTCACAAAAATTTATAAAAGTTACATTATGTAATGACTTGGAAGATTTATTATCTGAAGCCATAAAAGAATTACAAAGTTATATTTTGTACACCCGATCATGGCCATTAAGACAAGATGAGATTGCATACATTTTAAAACAGTCGAAACTAAGCAAGCCTTTTAAAAAAAGAGTTCGTAATCAATGTTTTTATATTAAAAGTTATCTCAGTGGTCTCGTCCAATCCACTCCGAATTCCATAGTAACAATCTTTGTAAATCATAAAAATGGCGCACAGCGTGTGAAAGTGAGAGGATTCAAGGACCATGTAAACAACGCTGTATCGAAAATACAGAACTGGCTAAATGATAATGTTGAAACTGAAGTACAACTTCCTATTTCCAAAGTTATGTCAATTTTTCTCCGAACAAAAGCTTCGTCTGATATAAAGAAAATGGAAAAAACTGATCATATAAAAATAACAATTATATCAACAGCTTATCGAAAACATGTGGATGATGAACAAGATGATGACACCAATTGCTTGAAACTCAGTGGTTCTTATTCGCACATTAGTTTCGCACGAGAGAAAGTAGAAGATTTTCTTGAAAGTTTATTCGAACAAGAAAAACAATTTTCTTGTCATAGTTGGGATATTTCAAAGAATGTTTCCCAAAGTCTTCGTATACGTCTGAAAGAACTACAAAACTCAGATGATTGTGGAGCAATAGGATGGCTAAAAACTTATACAGCGACAGAAAGACAAGATATTACACCACAAGTTACTATAACAATAGTTGGTTTGAACGAAGAAGCAGTTGAGAATGTTATTGAACAATGTCAAAATATTGTAGAAGGTTATGTTATTTGGAAACTATCTTCCAATGAGTATCGTGCGATAGTTAATGCGCTAGTAGTGAAAAAGTCACCGTCTGTTGATGAATTTCGACAGCAATGGGAAACTGATATACGATTAGATCAAAATACGAATACTATCATTATTCCTGCACGATCGAAAATGATAGCAGATGATATCAAGGAAGCTTTACTAAGTTTAGGAGAAGAAAAACAACTTCGAGTGAATCGCATATCTGAATTCATTCCTATTCAACCTAATATTCGTCGTTTTGTTAATCAAATTATTAATCCAATATTCGATGAAGCAAAACAACAAAAAGTTTTTGTAGAATCTAAAAAGCGTGATGGATTGAAACTGCACGGTCTTCCTAATACTGTTACGGAACTCAAACAAAAGATCAATTCTGTTATCAATGAAATTAAGCAAAATATCATTACTCGTCGTTTACAGTTGTCATCAACCGAGTCAAACTTGTTTCGAACTGATGCATATAAATTAGTAAAGAGTATTGAACGAGAAACAAACACTGTGATTTGTGATGTTGCAACAAATAAAACTGATTTAACATTAAAGATCAATGAAAATGATACCAACTCATTGATAACTATTGTTGTAAACAGTCGAGGTCAAACCATTGTCGTAGAAAAAGGTGATATAACTAAGGTAAAAAATCTCGATGCAATTGTGAATGCAGCTAATGGAACATTATATCATGCAGGTGGTGTAGATAAAGCGATTGCTGATGCTGCTGGTCCCGCATTTGATCAAGAATGTAAACAATTAATTGCAAAGAATGGAGGTTTACCTATTTCTGCTGGTAAAGTAGTTAAGACAACAGCTGGCAATCTTCCTTTTAAATCTGTTATTCATGCAATTGGTCCTCAATATACAGATGGTGATCAAAACGAACGTCCATTATTATTCTCTAGTGTTTTATCTAGTTTGAGACTTGCTGAAAATGAACGTTATGCAAGTGTTGCTTTACCAGCTATCAGCTCTAAAACTTATGGTTTTCCATTAGCAGATTGTACAAATATTGTGGTTCGTGCAGTGAAACAATTCTTCGCCAATTATCCACAATCACATTTGAGAAAAATTATTCTATTAGATATGGATGAAGCAGCTTGTAATTCATTTGCACGTGAAATTGCTATCGATCATAGAAGTGGACTTCTAGATGATGACGATATTATTAACTATGAGTTACCTACATTGACGGCTAAATGGTGTTGGCAAGATGATGATGGTGAGAAAATCTATGATGAAAATCATGCACGTCAAATTGAGGCTTCATTTCAACATTATTTAAAAACTTCTAAGATGCCGACATTAGTGATTCCTGCTGATAATTTACGAAGCGGTATTATTGTGAACTACAGTATTCATTTTCTTCCAAATTTGAAGCAATTATTAAGAGACACACCAAATATGCTAAATAGTCGTTTTGTCTCAGGACATCAAATGAGAGATAGTACAGGCTATAAACGACCAATCATTCGTTATCCAGTTGCACAACAACCGAAATCTATTCCTGTTATGTATCATCTCAAACCATTAGATCTATATGATTTGAAATTAGAAACGACCAAAGTCGATTGGGATATAATTGGTCTTACGAATGCAGCTATACAAAAAGCTGAAGCAACGATTCGAAAAGCAATTGAATCTGCCACGATTTCAGAACCTTTCTCCATAAATCTGAATAAAGACTTTAATATACATAAAAAAGAACTCGTCAAAATTGCAAATCAACAACAAATTCAAATCGATTTTCAACAAGAATGTTCAGGACAACTATTGATGATATTAAAAGGTTTAAAACCAAATGTACAAGAAGCAAAATTAAAGATTAGCATATACGCTCATGACATATTGAAAAAGCACATAGATAACGATAGTGAATTGGACATACCGAAAGAATGGGGTGATCAAAGTGAAAATCTCAAGCTAGTTGAGATTCCTAGGAATCATCTCAGCTTTACTCGTATTGAAAATCGTATGAAAGAAACTATGAAAGATGTAAAAATCCATAAGATTGAACGAGTACAAAATTTACGTATGTGGAATCACTATGCGTTTCGCCGTCGAGAGCTCAAAAAGGAACTGAGTCATATGCCTAATTTACAAATTGAAATGAAACTATTTCATGGAACGAAAGAGACATCACCCAGTGAAATCTACAATGGTGAATATGGTTTCGATATGACATATAGTACGAGTGGTATGTGGGGTATTGGCACATACTTTGCGAAAAATGCTTCATACTCATGCAACGGCTATGATCATAAACTACCGGATGGTAAAGGGCAAGTGTTCTTAGCCCAAGTGCTAACAGGAGATGTATATGATTGCAAGAGTGATCCAAAATTGCGTCGACCCCCGAAAAAAAATGAGACAAAATCTGGTCTTCGACATAACAGTGTATCAGGCGATACAGGTGGCAGTAAAGTTTACATTGTTTACGAAAACCGTGTGGCCTATCCGACTTATTTGATTACATTTACGAACTAAATTTTTCAGAACTTTCATTTTAATCCTGAATGACTTCGTTTGATTTTTCAATAAAATAAGAACACGCTTTGAAAAAATTGAAGTCTTCATTAAACATCAGATAAGACACGCAAAATAAGTTTCATATTAGAAATTAAAGAAATACTTTTGGTGTAACAATTGTTAAATTAAATTTCGTAACCGACTTCAAAATCAAAATTCAATAATTCAAAGACTTCTCCACAAGCTGCAAATAGTGGGGTGTGTGTGGGGTGGGGTGTGGGTGTGGGTGGGTGCAGGTGTGGGTGGGTGTGAGTGTGGGACAGCCACACCCAGACCCACACCCACCCACCCCACACCCACACCTACCCACACCCCACACCCACACCCTTAACTTGCAATGCCCCCTGATTAACGAGATACAAAGGTACCCAATCAGAATAACTGGATCGTGAAAACTTCTTTCTTTTCTCAAGAAGGCAATGAAGTAATTAGGTGAAAAACGGTGTACTATCCTATATATGGATGCTATACACAATGCTCGAAACTATATGTTAGAAGGCTAGTTCCACGAGCATTTCGGACAACCTTATATGAATTAGATTATATTTTTCTACAATAATCACTCCAACAATAAATTATTTTATAATTATACCATCATGAACATATTCTAATAGCAAAACAATATTTGAATTTCGTTACAGATACAAATATTAATGAGGAATTTTCAATAAACAGAAGAGACTTCAAACACAATAACATAGATTAAAAGTCTTATTTTCATCTAGAATAATTCGATATATCCTATATCTATAATATGATTATAGCTCGATTTCGAGTTAAGTTTTAGTTAAGATTTTAAAAATCGTTCTTATTATAGGAATTTATTTGTTCGAACTAATATTCACCTATTATTTGATGATTGAGATATTGTTCAGTCAACAAAGAAGTGTTTTTCTTTTGAATGATGTACTTTTCATGTCAAGTAATTTCAAACTCCGGACATGTATTCAGGCATTCAAAAATGAATTTTTGTCCTTAAATATTTATGGCTAGTGTTCGTAAACATTTTCCTTTGAAAGACCATAATAGAAAAGCAGGAAAATCAGAATAGTATGACCATGTGTTAGAAATAGAATACTTTTTGTTATGTCTGATGTACCTATCGAACATCATAATGAACAAGGTTAGATATTCGGAATGTATGTCTAACGGTGTTTTTACAGAAAAATGAAATGACATTGTCAGAAAGTTCCTAAAAGAATTAAAAACGGATATGAAGACATTTGCTTCTGTTTTTATGGACAAGACACCCTATCGTTGTTATTACAAGCTTCCAAACTTTTCTTTTTCCTATCTTCGGTCAAAATTTTGCTGTTCAATCACTCACAATAGGTTGTTAGAGTTTGACACGATCTTCTGGACAGCTTTCATTCAGAACATCCCTTTCTTTCTAATGTCCGAAAGCCGTAAGAAACTATTTCAACCGAAGTTCTTAATGAAAAAGTGAAACGAAAAGTCACTTTATCTTTTTTTTCCTCTTACTAAAAACGTCGTTTTTCAAATGATATTAACTATTTAAGTAGATTTTTCGATAGAATTTTATTTGCTCGAATATTATTTTCACAAAATAGAATTGATTCAAATAAAAAAAAGTAACTAACATGAACTTGAAGAATATATTTTCCATAAATATTTCGAATAATTTTTATTAATTGTTTTGGTTTAATCAATTAAATGACAATATCATTTTAAATCTTCTTTCATATTTGCAATTGTTTCATTTAATTTACGAATCTTTAAAATAAAATAATCAAAATATTAATATAAAATATAAAAACTTACAGTGATTGTTTCATATTAAAGTTCTTTTTCTGTTGCTTTTAATTTTGCTTTATAATCAGCTAGTTTTATTGAATATTTTTCATTATTTTGACATAATATATCATATTCATTATCCATCTACATAAATAAAAAAAAATATTTTTTTTATAAATAGATGATAAATAAAAAAATAATAACGTTATTATATTATTTAATTAAAGCTTTAACTTCATGTTGTCGAGGAGCTATTTCATTATTTAATTCTCGAATTTTATAATTAAAAACATATGCAAATTTTTCTAATTCATCTTTTTGATTTTCCATATCATTTGTATGTTTTAACTAAATAATAAAAAAATATTTTAGAAGAAAAAAGAAAGCAAATGTGAATAAAACTTTATCTTGAATAATAAAATTTCTTTGTTGAATTGTTTGTATAGCTAGATTTAAATCATTATCAATTTGTCCAATTTGATCAATTAATTGTTGTCGTTCAAATTCCAATTGTTTTATATCATCTTCAAAATAATTTGATTCTTGTTTAAGTTGTTCGATCTAAATTAAATTAAGTTAAAAATATTAATGTCAAATATTAAAAAAAACACACTCTTATATTAAATTAAAACTTGTTCATTTTCTAATTGTTCGATTTTATTTAAAATAATATTTAATTTTTTAATATATTCTTCATTTAAAAGATTTAATTCAATATCAGCATCTTTATCAATGAAATATTTAATATCTTCGAAATATTCATACGTTCATTTAAATGTTTATTCTTCTATTAAATGAAATTATTTCTCTTATTCGTTCTTTTTGTTTCTTTTATTAAAACGTATACTTGAAAAAAAAATTTCTAATATTTTTTATATTATTTCTATATAATAAATAAATTAATTCAATATATCTTTGATATAAATCATTAATTATTTCAATTTGTTCAGATTCATTTAAATATAAATGTTCAATATTAGATAAAATAAATTTATCTTGAATAACAATATCTTAATAATGTTCGATTTTATTTTGATTTAATTTTTTAATTTGATTTTCTTTAACATTGATTAATTCATACTGTTTTTGTTCGTATTCATTTTAAAAATATAATTCTTTTTTACGTAATTCTTTTATTTTCATTTCCATTTTATTTAAATAAGATTGACAATAAATATCAAGTTGATGAAATTGTTCAATATATTCTTTTTCTTTTATTTCAATTTTATTTTCATATTCATGTGCTATTTCAATTTCATCTTTTATTAATCTATTTAATTCAATGCTCTACATTTAAATAGAAATTCTTGTTTTTTTTCTTCTTCATACTGGTAAAAAGATTTCCAACAAAAAAAAAACAAAACGATAACAGATTAAACTATTCAATTTTTTGATTCATTTCTTCACCCTAACAATTTTAAAAAAAACTTTCCTTTACTCAAAAAACTGAATTCAAAATTTTGAAAAACTAACTTCAGATTCGGATTCTCCGACCTCGATTTACTTTCGTCTACCTTTATAGAATATCGTTATTTTCTCAAAAAACACTTCCCTTGACTCTAAAAATTCAATTCAAAATTTTGAGAAACTGACTTTAGGTTCGAATTCTCCGACAGCGAAAACCTTTTGCCAAACTCCAATATTTGGGTCCGTCCTAAGGATATGTTTTTTTGACCTTTGACCCGACGACAAGCAAACAAACTATTTTTTTATATGACTCTCCGTACAGTCGAGGGAATTATGCTCTTCCTAAAATGAACTCGAAGTGCATTTAATATTGTGTAATAGAAAAGAAGAGCATAACAATCTTTTTCTTTTTTAAATAAACTCTATTAGAGTTGGAAAGACACAAGAACTCTTAACATTGAGAGTACACTCAAATAGACAAATGATTAAACCATAACGTTTCCAAAAAACAGATTGTACTTTTCTGATAGGATGAAAATGACAAACAGACGCATCTTAAATGTTATTTTTGCCGTTTTCATCTTGACATACTGTGACATATTTTTTTCTTGAAAAATACCATTTTTTTATAGGCTTTTTTGTTTTCTAACACAGTCTTTAATGCCGCGCACAGTTTGTTACGCACACGCATTGTACATAATATGTTGCCTATAAGATTTTCTCTGGTTCACTAATTGCTTCTTTTTAATAATACCTTATTCTTTTAAAAGATAAGTAAGGCTTTATATGAGATGAAAGAGTCAACACTAATTTTGATATCACTTTGATCTTTTCACTTTTGACGATTTGCATACACTCTATAATGAACAATAACATATCTTAAATCAAGCTCATTTGTCCCTCATTAATCTGACAGAATAATTTTGTTTTCTTTTCATATATGGGAATGATTTAAAAAAAAGAATGCAAATAAAATTATAAGTGTAGAAGTCCTTTCTCTAATATATATATATACTCTGACGATAATGCAAGACGTAAAAATAACGTTTCAGGTTGTTGAGTACAACTTGAGAATAACATCGCGAGCATCACACAGCGCATATTTGAAAGAGTATAATCGAATCAATGTCCGCAACCACTGTAGAAATGTTGGCTACCATTCAAGCCATTCTGAATACTCAGATTACTCTTGTTCGAATAAGCACACCAATTTTGCTTATTCTTGGCAATATTGGCGAAATTCTAAACATTATCATTTTTGTTCAACGCATTTTTCGAACTAATCCTTGTGGCATATATTTTCTTGCTGCTTCATGCACACAATTGTTCTTTATCAACTACAGTATTCTTCTCAGTGGTCTTTCCCTTGGTAAGCTTTCAAACATTTGATGTTCTGTATAGTTACTATCATTACGTAGGCTATAACATCTATCCAGCGCGAACGTCGCTGGTCTTTTGCAAGATCCAGTTCTATCTTACATACATTGCAGCTATTCTACCACCAAGTTTTATGGTTTTGGCTTGTATCGATCGATTGCTGTTGAGTTCACGAAATGTGAGAGCACGTTCGTGGAGTCAACCGCGCTTTGCCTATCGATCGATAGCTTGTATATCTCTATTCTGGATGCTCTTTTCCATTCATAGTTTATTTGGCTCGACAATTTCTTCAAGATCCGGCTATACACAGTGTTACCTTGAGCCAGGCTCCTATACGCTCTTTGTAGCTTTATATTCAATCATCGTCAATTATCTTTTACCACCAACACTCATGGCTATCCTTGGCTTCCTTACCATTGTTAACGTTCGAGAAACACAAAGGCGAATTCATCCAATGGCAAGAGGAGGATATATGCAACGAAAAGATCGACATCTTTTGCGCATGTTACTTTTTCAAGTACTGGTCTATATCATATTTACCATACCAGGAGGAGCTTATCAGGTATGAACTGCTTTAATTTCGCTATATTAGAAAGTAACATAACGATCTGTTATTTAGTTGTATAATGTGGTATCAGCCAATTGGCAGAAGGATACTGTTCAAAACACCTGGGAGTTGTTTTTCTTCTCATTGGCATTAACTCTATTCTACATTCGGAATTGTGTTGGCTTCTATATTTATACTCTAACAGCGAGCATATTTAGGCAAGAACTCAAGCGAATAATAATACAATGCTATCGTCGTTTCTTTCCTCAGGAATAAATACAAGTAATGACGGTGACAACCACTGCCATGTAGACACAGATAGAATTTAGCATATATATATATATATATTGTTTTATTCAAGCAACTTTTTTTCTGTCAATATGTTGCATCTATTTTGTTGTCTGTAGGATATGTCGATGTTGTCCTCGTATACATCCACCCCCACCCCCACACCCACATCCACACCCTCTCAATTGTTACATAGCCCGTTTTTTCCTATTTATGTTTGATGTTAAATCCTACATCGATCACATTAACATAGAAATAAATAATGAAAAAAAAAGAAACATCTGTCTACGAAGATATTGGACTATACAAAAATGTTATACTTTTTCGTTCGATAGAAAAAGTCAATCTTTTTTTCTTCAATAAGAAAAGTGCTTATGAACAAAGAATTAATAGATAAGCATATATATATATATATCTTACGAAAAGTGTTGCAACCACATTTAAAGATGAATCAAAATGGTGTTCATCTTGTTGATCTTCCTAGTGAAATATTATTTGTTATTTTAAAAAAACTTGACAATATTGATGTTCTTTACTCTTTACTTGGTATCAACAATCAGCGACTTGACATTATGGCACAAGGACAAATCTTCAGTAACACCCTTAATTTTGTTTCCATATCACAATCAATTGATGAGATTTCTTCAATTTCTGATCTAATACTCGATCGATTTTGTAATAATATACTACCAAGAATTCATATAAATGTCGAATGTCTCATTCTTGATTCCATTTCGATGGAATGTATCCTTCGTGATGGTAACTATCCTAATCTTACTGAACTTAAACTTTATAATTTTAATAAAGCAATGGTTTAGCGTTATTTCATGGGTAAGTTATTCATGTTTACTGATCATTGAAAAGATTAGCATAAAAAAAAATTTCGATGCTCAGATTATATGATATCTATTTTTTAGATGATTTTCTTTTTGGACATATTTCTAAACAACAAATTACAGATCTTGTTCTTGTTAGTAATGAAAACAATATTGAAATAATACGAGAAGACTATATGAAAAGTGTTTATGAAATTATCTCTGTATTGTTTGAAAATCTAAAACATTTTAGTATTGTGTCGTCATCTGTCAACGATTATCCATCTTTATCCTTATTTTTTTTTACCACCAATGACTTTTTCTTCTTCGATATTGACTAAATTATCTATCAATGTAAATGATTTTAATGATGTTTATGCTTTACTTGATGGTCGTCTCAAACAATTAACTACACTTATCATCCAAGTTGGTATTATCAGTGATCTGATATTAACATCTCCTAACAGGGTGAGTTCATGCTCCGTACTATTATACTACTTTTCTAATTACTGTTTAATATCGGAGACAGTAAAGTTTAGTTAGAAGTGTAATAAACAATGAAAATTTTGCATTATTAATAAATATGATATTTTAGTTTTGTTTATCAAGAAATAAATAGAATAGATTATTGGAATTATTTTGACGTTATTCTAGATTATTGAAATAATTAATCATTACTCACTTGAAAATAGTTAATCAATGATTTTAGTTATTAAATGATTTGATAGAAAATATTCTGTTATTATATCTTTCATAATAACTATGTTGAACTTATTCATCTACGTTAAAACAAATTAAACATTTTATTGAAAAATAAACATTTTAACCAATCGAGTTTTGTTTTAAGCCTCATTTACCTTTACTATTGAAATGAGCATATTTATTCAAAAGAACTATTTATTTTCTTTATTAATAATTATTATTGTAATAGCTATATAATGGATCTTATTGAATATGGGAAAGTAGGAAACTGTCGAATTCAAAATGTTGACAAAAAAATGTCGACAAAGCAGTTTGTCAAAAAGTAAAACGTCGACTAGCGAAAATGTTAGATATTACAAAAAAAAGCAAAAGTGAACTGCAATAAAATGAGGATGAGACATTGGGGGTGAAGAAAAGAACATATACGACGGAATGCCTCGTCATTATTCTGTTTTATGATAGAAGTTTCGACATTTCTTTCATGTCGGCATCTTTTGTAGACATTTCGACACGTCATCGTGAGAACTTAATAAATACCAGATTATTATCATTATTACTAGGGAATAGATATATTTCATAGAATAGAAAAAAACATTCAAAAAATAGAATTTTAAAAATGACTTATATCTATCGATTAATGGTTGATGTCAATTTATTTCTTAGCTTAATTAATAAAAATGAATTTAAAAATATTTTCTTTCTTTTTTTTTCAGGTTGATCTACCTAGTTTAAAATGTTTCGCATTAACATGTTATCGTCGTACCCAAGGATATGAAATTCAAGTTTTACCTCTTCTTCTTCGATTGATGTATCTCGAAGAATGATATGTCGCATTTTTTCACTTCCATTTAAATTTCATCTTCTCCAAAACATCGGTAATAACATTCCAAATATTGTATTTAATTCTGTTACTCATTTGAAATTATGGGACAAAGATGATTTCAAACATGAATTTTTTGTTCGACTTACTCGAGCTTTTCCATTTCTTAAAAAGTTATCTATTTGGAATATTAAGTCACCATTTTGGAGATGTCATGAACTTCATCTTCGTGATAAAGACTGGTACTCAATTATTGAATATCCTTATCTTATTTCACTTAACATCAAACATGTACATGCTCATTATGTCGAACATTTTCTCAATGAAACGAAAACACATTTACCGCGTTTAACAGAATTAAAAGTCAATTCTGACAATTTGAAAAAGGTAACGAAAAACTTTACAAGAGATTAAACGCGACGCAATTGTGGCAGAGTCAATCGATTAATTGTTGAAGGTTTAATGGTTCATTCCGAAGATGTCTATAATTATTTTCCTCTATTGTCACCTCAATATTGTTCTGATATTATCTGAATTTATCTGAAAAAAGAATCTCTGATGTAAATTATAATTTTTTTTTTCTTGCAACATTAAGTACAATGCGAAAAATGCGATTTGTCGATGAAGACAAAATCTTCTATTGAAACTGCGCTGTTGTGAAAAACAGTTGTTAATATAATCTTATGTGTTTGGTGTTGCATTGTGATCGAAAAATAAAATTGTATATTGTCTCGGCGCGATGGCGGCACATATTTTTAAGGCTTTTTGTCACACATAAAGCATTTTGCAATCATCGTGATTAAATCTCAGGAATCCTTGAGATAGTACCAATTTTCTTCTTTTTCCAACTCCTGTATTTTATGATTATACTCACTCTCACTCTTACCGTCAAAGTACATTTGTATTATAGAGATGATAGTATTCATTGTATTGATTTCGTTTTTGACAATGAAAATATTATGAGCAAAGAATTCTATAATTACAAGGGATGTTTATTTTTTTAAATTAAGGCATATTATTGTTCGACAAAGATATTTGGTACATATAGCTAAAAATACGATAGAGGAAAGGATATAATCACTAACTTTGTCGCCGCAACGTGAAGTAGTGAACATTAAATTCTGAGCTGCGATTCGACCTATATTTTCTAAAGAAATCCTATTTTTCCTATGTTTATCGAAAAAAGTAGAAAATTTTCGAAAACCTATAAAGGAGCCTGTGGGATAAGATGACCTATCCAGAATTGAAAATCCAAATGTACCATCTTGTAGAGAATTTCAAGGCGTATTCAATGGTATATGATAAGTCTATTTTCTAAAAAGTTTAGGAAAGCTTATGATCAATTTACTGATGGAGGGATTTGGGTCCAAAATGGTGATAAATAGCTAATCAGTATAGTCCCTATAAGTTAATCGAAGGATGTCGTAAAAAATATTCGTTATATACGGTTATGCAGAGTTTTTGATGGGCTACAAGTTTATATATCTAACATCTTTAATCACATAATATTCAGAAGAAAAAAAAGATGATTTCTTATAAACTGGACACTGTTTTGTGATCAAAAGTGATAATTATAGGACCACTGTGATGAATGGTGCTAATCTCAGAAGAAGCGACTACTTGTCAAACTTTGTCAGAACTTGCGCCTTAGATAGGGCGACAAAATGCACTATTTAGTGATTCTCCAACGTTTGTGCTACATTTCTAAAACTGCCTTACATTGGGAAGAGTGTGGGTGTGTTTTAACTGTTGTCACGCCCACTCACACACCCACACCCACACCCTTGAGGAACTATCAGTACCCCGATAAGATAGTTCTTGAGGACTTATGGTAATCCTTTCCAGCTCCTGAGAACTGAGCTGGTGAACAGTTCCAGCTTTCACACACCTATTATAGAAATTTAAAAAAAAGGCTATCGGGCAAAATGCTTATAACTTTTTAACAAACACAGCTAGAGACTTGTGATTTTCACCATTCCAAAAAGAGGGAATTGAAGGACCTGTGCCTATGGAAGAAACAAAAGTTCTCCAAATGTTTTATGTCCTAATTTCAGCGGACGATATTTGAAGAAAATTAACAAGCCCTCTAAAAAAAACATTTCTTTTTATTTTTAGTTTTGCTGGACTAATACATTGAATAGTGCTCTTTAATATGGTACCTAAGCAACAGCTCGATTTTGCTTCCTTCGTAGAATTACAGTCGTTTTATTCGCACGAACACACGTAAAAACGTTTTGCTAGTGGGAATTCAAAGGACTAGAGCAACGAAAAATATAAAAAAGGAAATTGTTGTTTGGAAACTTACTATTTTTTCTAAATTTCGTTCGCTGAAACTTTGCACAGCAAATACTTGAAGAAACTTTGTTTTTCCATAGGCGCACGGCCTCCAAGGTCTTCCTTCGAATGGTGAAAATCATAGATTTCTAGCTGTTTTCGTTAAAAAGTTATTAAAATTTTGCCCGATGGCCTTTTTTCTGACATTCCCATAATAGTTGATTTTAAGCGATTTTCTGGTGAGTTAAAATTATTCACGATGATTTAATCTGATTTTAATGACTTATGTGATTTAATTGTGATTTTCAGCTGATTGAAATTAGTTGTTTCCCCCTTGACCATAATACTTGAATCTATCTGTTGAATATAACAACTATTTTTGTCCAAATAATAAACAAAGACATATACATAATTTGATAGAGGAAAAAGTTACTTAGATTCATCTGATTTTGGTAGTTGGTTACACATTGAACTGTGCAAACTGTCTATAACTTCTTGGCACATTACTATTCTATGAAATATGGTTCCTACTTTAAAATCCTGTTTCGACGAATTTTTCTGTGATGTTCAATTCAACTATGGCACCATTTTTCATTGAGACTATATTTCAAACAAAAAACACTTCTGGTAAATCTGTTCATTCTAACATAATATAAGCGATTAAATTATTATTCAACAAGGGAAAGCAACGAAGAAATCCAATCGCTTGTGCAGTTTCTCTTACTTTACAGTGTGTATTTTCATTCTCGCTAACCAAATTTTACATAGCAAATGAAAACTTCAAAGCAACAATTTGATTCTCATGCTTACTGGAAGAAATACTGTAAAGACTGACCCAAATTCATCTCTAGAAAATCGCATGATATTCAAAGTATCAGCAGCACTGCTAATCAGTGCAACATATTATTACGAGAAATTTCGTCATAAGTAATGGCATGAATGACCGACAGTTTTGCATTATGTCAAGGGCTGAATGAGAAAAAATGCTAAGATGCGGTTCAATGATAAACGATAAAATGAAACTAATGAAGAAGATCAAGTCAGAACACAATGAACAATAATCAACGAAATGAAGTAAAAATAGATATGAATGACAATAATATGGTAACCGTCGAAGATAAACGACAATCTTATAGGCTATTAGAAGCTTCAGAATATTGTCGAATTCAATGAACAGACCGAGAAAAGTTTCACTCAACTATGTCTTTTTTCGAAAGAAATATCAGTAATTTCGAAACTTGTTTCTTACTTTATAGATGATTGAATAGAAGTTTCATATTGTTGTTCAAGCAGAATCTGCAATGACACAGCTTCTTTTTGACAATATTTTTGCCATGCAATCTCAGTAAGCCATTTTAGAACAGTGCAGTGTTGAAAGAAATTTCTAAAGTAAAATAGCCGATCTCAGGAATCTTCCAATGTGATGATTCAGTCTTCCGTTTGCTTTATTTGTGAACGAGGGACATGAGTCAACGAATTTTACATTGACGACAGTAAAAGAAGTGAAACATGCATTTTCGTCATTCTGTCACAAACGTCATAGTCAATGAGTCAATCAAATGAAATATGACTTGTTTTGTTTAATTCTGTCATGTATATATAACCTGCAAGTCACATTTGTTTTCTAATACTTCTACTCCTACTGTTCTTGGTTAAACATAAACATGCAACAGGAACCTTCAATTTATACCATTGAAAAAAGTGCACCAATTAGTGATCAACCAACGTTCTCTGACCAGACTAAACCGTCGACAATCGTGGAGCAGAGAAATGATGAAAGTAAACGGAAACGAGATGAAGACATCATTGACAACTCAAAAACTCATCACGAAGTTACTCAACAACCTACAGATTGCACTGACCTCAACACTTTCAATTCAATATTATTTGCAAAAAATATAAGACCACAGCAAATGAAGCGTAAACGATGTTGCTATAGAAAATCAAAGCGTTCAAATCGAAATTCTCGCTATGATGATGGCTCATGTATTAATTGCTGTTGTTTTGGTATTGGTGATACCAATATAGTTTCCGACAGTAATGATAATACTAGTTTCAGTAGCATCAATAGTCATGGTAGTTGTGACAGCTGTAAAAACGGTGATGGTTGTTGCTGTTGTTTTGGAGACTGCGCCAGCAGTGATAGTTGCTGTTGT